TTTAGTGTCTGGGGTATTTGCAGTAGACTTTTGTAGTGCTCGCTATGTGCAGAGAGCCATTATTGAAGCAGTTTATAGAGCAAAGTGAGCTGGATGGAGGCGGGCTAATTTCATTATCTAAACGCACAGGTCCCTCTGTAAACCAGTCATGCCTAAAGACTGCAAGTCTGTTGGTTTACATCCTTACCAGACATAAATCTGGACTTGAGAAGGTCTTCTCATCGTCTACAAGTGTGACGTCATTTATTCCTGTTACAATCTAGTGTTGGTCATACTGGTTGTAACATCTGAGGATCTGCAGGAAGTACAGTACCAGTCTTACTTTTCAATACTAAATATGAGCTGTAAGGCATTTTGTTTTATAGTGACTTTAGCCGCAACTTGCCATTTGATTCCATCTGGTCATTCATCTACCCATCTGTCTAATCTCCATAGGTAAGGGACATAATCCCAACAAAAACCAATCATCTGCATAAAGCAGAACTGGGACCCTGAGGTTCCCAATCAGTCCTGATTTAGTCCTTAGATGAATTAGTCAAATCTGCACTGCATCAAGGAGGCAGGCACAGCACTTGGTTTGGTTGTGTGGGGAACAAATAGCTCTTAAAGTAACTCAGCATCCCATACTCCCAAATGACTCCCTACCAAATGCCTCTGGGGAGGTGAGGTCAAGCTTCTTCAAGATCAACAAAACTTCAGCGGACCATAGAACAAATCTCCCATGATCTCCTAAGCAACTTTGCAGAGATCAAGTCTTGGTCCATTCCATCGCCTAAACAAAACCAACTCCTTCTGAATCTGAGGTTTGACAATCGACCAGATTCTCCTCTCTAACAACCTGTGGAGGCTAAAAAAATGATTCCCCAAAAGTTTATACACTCTCCAGTAAACTTTTTAAAAACTGGGATTAACACCCAAGTCTGCCACCCTTCAAGCCTGTCTATATTTGGCATTGAAGAGGCAGCCATGACAGTCTCACAACATGCCCTCAGTTTCTCAGAGTGAATCCCAAACACACACACACACACACACACACACACACACACACACACACACACACACACACACTCACACACACACACACACACACACACACACACACACACACACACACACACACACACACACACACACACACACCAGGAAATCACCTACAACCTAAAATTGTACCCACATGAGGAGTGGATGCAGTCAGTGAGGTCATCGCTGTGATGAACTGTGAGCCATTTGAGGGTTTGGTTTTGTCAGCTGTGACTAACAGTGATCCAGAGAGGCGTGTTTAATAAATCAGAGGTCAGCTGTGAGAATTACTCTTCCCTTCAGTGACTTTTTCCACAACATTTAAAATTCTTCAGATCCCTTCAAATGAAAAGGGGTTATATGACTTTTCCAGAGCTACCTATTTGCTGACTGGACTAGTTCGAATAGCCACCCTGGGTTTGTGGTTTATGCATGCTGATCAAATGACAGCGTGTTTTGAAACTGGGAAAGCACAGATGACATCATAATCACAATCATGGAGGAGGAACCAGCTAATAAAAAGTGTGCTACAGTAGGAAGTTATTGTCTCGAGTGTGCTGAGTTTACACAGACCTTGGCTGAGATTATATTAGACGACGTTACATTCATTTATTTATTTTCCCTCTCTCGTTTCATTGGTCAGACTGAAAGGGTGTGATCCCAGTAAGAGGGAGATCTGCACAGATGCTGATCGCCTGCAGTCTAAAGCATCAGGACCTCCTCTTGCTTTGCTCAGAAGGAAATGAGGTTACTCCTGAGCTGGCACCAGAACAAAGCCCTCCAACAGATGCTTGATAATGTGTAACCATTCATTACATTGTGTCTCATGTCTCAAGTCTGGCCTGTGTCGCTGACTGGAGAACCTCTGCTTAACTTAGCAAGAAGTCATTTTGTGAGAATCGCACAACTTTAACTACACACACACACACACACACGCACATGCACACACACACACACACACACACACACACACACACACACACACACACACACACACACACACACACGTTTGTTGATGCTTACCTCTTGTATGTTTTATTCAGAACTTTTGTTTCCTTTCAGGTCAAAATTCAGCCTTTTGTGATTTTAGACTAAACCTGGCTTATTGTATGAAATGATTCAAATAAGTTTGATTGTTTTACTTGCAGCATTTGTGTTTGCACACAACAGGAAACCATTCCTCCAAAGTCAGCTGTGCATTTGTTTGTTTCACATTATGACCAAAAGCTCAGCTGAGCAAAGTTGTGTATGCATCCCGAACATCTCAACCTCAGCACTTTTTCCACTTTATTTCCATTTATTTTAGCCAACTGTTAAAATGTATTCTCTCAAAGCACTTTATGCATCCTTCAGAAGGACAAACACAGCTTCCCACTTTCTTTCAAGCTCCCACTTTGGCTAAATGGTTTAAGGATGTTTGAGGGGAGATGATAAGCTAGCTCAGTGCAGCATTGTTCACCCTGGCAACTGTGGGCTGTGTTTGAGAAACGTCTGCTTGTGCCAAAAGAGAACTCAGTGTGAGCCTTTGTGTCAGGACTGTTAGACTTTGCACATAGAACCTTTAAATACTGACTTGAGAAGCTCTGAGATTCTAATGAGTTATTATTTAAATATATGGTTCTTGGACAGTAGAAACTGTTATGGCGGTGCGTCTTAGAATTAGAGTATTCTGTAATTTCAGAAATCAAGAAAATGTGTTCCTTGTTTGTGTAGATGGTGTGGCACAGGGTCACTAAACAAGACGTCAATTGATGATTGGAAAACTGAGAAGCAAACACCTTAAATAGCCTCTTTAAAGAGGAAATAGGCAGTTTTGGCTTGCTTTTACCACCCCCTAGTGTCCATTTATGGAACCAAAAGCAAAATATGTCTCCTTGTTGTGTGTTTGTCTTTAAACAACTACATCTAGCTGTTGAAATGTCTCCCCAGCTATGGCGTTTGAAGCGTGCCACAACCCGTGCACGCGGATTGGGTCCACAGCGCGCGTGTGAACGGGAATCGCGAGCGAAAATATACATGGCAGCGCGCGTGTGAACGGGACTCGCGAGCGAAAATATACATGGCGAGAGGTCATTTGTGCACTGAGAGGGAGCAAACTGTGTCTGTGAGCGCACAAGAATGTGCACAAGTGACAAACCTGCGTGCGCGCGTTGTCAACGAGCACACGGCAGAGGAAAACGTGCGCTCGCGGCAGCCTCTGTGCGCGCGGCAGCCTCTCTGCGCGCTCGGTTTCTGACTCCTGCTCGCTCGGCTGTAAGGGCTTTTGGCACTCTGGAGGCGTGGCCTGTGGCAGATCTTCTCTGTCCTCTGATTGGTTAGTTTACCCCGCACTTTACCCTCTACCTATCTACAGGTGCTGGCCAGTAAATTAGAATATCATCAAAAGGTTGAAAATATTTCAGTAATTCCATTCAAAACGTGAAACTTGTACATTATATTCATGCAATGCACACAGACCAATGTATTTCCGATGTTTATTACGTTTAATTTTGATATTTATAGGTGACAACCAATGAAAACATCAAATCTGGTATCTCAGAAAATTAGAATATTCTAAAGGCCAATGAAAAAATGTTTGTTTCTCTAATGTTGGCCAACTGAAAAGAATGAACATGAAAAGAATGTGCATGTATAGCACTCAATACTTAGTCGGGGCTCCTTTTGCCTCAATAACTGCAGTAATGCGGCGTGGCATGGACTCGATCAGTCTGTGGCACTGCTCAGGTGTTATGAGAGCCCAGGTTGCTCTGATAGTCGTCTTCAGCTCCTCTGCATTGTTGGGTCTAGCGTATTGCATCCTCCGCTTCACAATACCCCATAGATTTTCTATGGGGTTAAGGTCAGGCGAGTTTGCTGGCCAATCAAGGACAGGGATACCATGGTCCTTGAACCAGGTGCTGGTGGTTTTGGCACTGTGTGCAGGTGCCAAGTCCTGTTGAAAGGTGAAGTCTGCATCCCCATAAAGTTGGTCAGCAGCAGGAAGCATGAAGTGCTCTAAAACTTCCTGGTAGACGGCTGCATTGACCCTGGACCTCAGGAAACAGAGTGGGCCAACACCGGCAGATGACATGGCACCCCACACCATCACTGACGGTGGAAACTTTACACTGGACCTCATGCAGCGTGGATTCTGTGCTTCTCCGCTCTTCCTCCAGACTCTGGGTCCTTGATTTCCAAAGGAAATGCAGAACTTGCTTTCATCAGAAAACATAACTTTGGACCACTCAGCATCAGTCCAGTCCTTTTTGTCCTTGGCCCAGGCGAGACGCTTCTTGCGCTGTTTCTTGTTCAAGAGTGGCTTGACACACGGAATGCGACACCTGAATCCCATGTCTTTCATGAGTCTCCTCGTGGTGGTTCTTGAAGCGCTGACTCCAGCTGCAGTCCACTCTTTGTGGATCTCCCCCACATTTTTGAATGGGTTTGTCGTCACAATTCTCTGCAGGGTGCGGTTATCCCTAGAGCTTGTACACTTTTTTCTACCACATTTTTTCCGTCCCTTCGCCTGTCTGTTAATGTGCTTGGACACAGAGCTCTGCGAACAGCCAGCTTCTTTAGCAATCACCTTTTGTGTCTTGCCCTCCTTGTGCAAGGTGTCAATGATTGTCTTTTGGACAGCTGTTAAGTCAGAAGTCTTCCCCATGATTGTGGTGCCTTCAAAACAAGACTGAGGGACCTTTTAAAGGCCTTTGCAGGTGTTTTGAGTAAATCAGCTGATTAGAGTGGCAGCAGGTGTCTTCTATATTCAGCCTTTTCAGAATATTCTAATTTTTTGAGATACCAAATTTGGAGTTTTCATTAGTTGTCACTTATGAATATCAAATTTAAATGTAATGAACATTGGAAATACATTGGTCTGTGTGCATTGCATGAATATAATGTACAAGTTTCACGTTTTGAATGGAATTACTGAAATATTTTCAACCTTTTGATGATATTCTAATTTACTGGCCAGCACCTGTATATAAAAAAGTCTGATATTCAGTAGTTGCTGGCATAGCTCAGCTGGGAGAGCGGGTGACTCTCCCCCCGGAGGATCCAGGTTTGAGTCCGGGCAAGGAAAATGCAGTAGATGTCATGTTAATTTTTCTTAATTTCAGGTATTTTACAGTTGTGACCGTTCAACTGTCATTAAACGTCCGAATGTTTGCTGGGCAGTGTTTTAAAAAGTGCACATAAGCTAGATGGTTTTAACCATATAAAATTACATTTTTGTGATACTGGAAAAATACATACTGAGATTGAAAACTTTATGACTGTGGTTGTACAATATATGACTCACTAATACACTGCAAACTCCCTTAGAGTGGGGCTTCCAGAGAGAGAGAGAGAGAGAGAGAGAGAGAGAGAGAGAGAGAGAGAGAGAGAGAGAGAGAGAGAGAGAGAGAGAGAGAGAGAGAGAGAGAAGTTCTTGCCTCATTAATGAATTGTTTATTTTTTTCAGTATTTAATTGACAAATTATCCTTTCAAATAATTAATTGATGAGTTACATAATTGTCCATTTAGAATTGTTGAATGGACTGAGTCAAGTTTGGTGCACTTTATATATTTCAAAACATGTTTTTTTTTATTTTAATGATGCATATAAATAATTTAAATGTTAATTTAATGAAATATTTCTATTTTTTCATTACCTCACCCTTGTTTTGACAAAAACGGGACCTTGCTGGATAATATCATGGAGAAACTATTTGTTCACAGTACATGGCTCAGTGAGGATCTGTGTACCAAAGGAGGAGATACTCAGAAATCTGTCTGCAGATTGTTACAACCCAGACTGGAAGTGGTGGGCTGTAATAAGAAAGGAGACCAAACAGAGGAGTGGGGGTTCAACAACTGATTTATTTAACAAAAGTAAGGATTTACTAAAGCAAGTTAGTGAACAGAAAATGGCCATCTCAAGGTTTTACTCGGATGTCCCTCAGCAGGGTGCAGCACTGTTGAAGGTCATCTGAATGAAAGCTTGATATGCAGTTTCTTTATGAAAGTGTGTAAATATACAGTGTGGTTGCCGTACATATGTTGAGGTTCTCAGACATCAGGCTTCTTTGCCCAGGCCTTCACTAGTGGGCTATTTTAAAAGTTGGTAAGGAGAAAAACCACAGCATATAGCTGATTGTTTACAAATGCAAGGAGGGGAATAACAATCAAAAAGCTTGTGTTCTTGGACCAGATGAATGGAGCGCTCCACATGCACTCAGAGATGTTATGGCTTCTGTTTCTATAACTTTACATGCAGACATTTGAGGTTTGCCAGAAAGGAAAGCTGGCCTGTACACTTTGCAGGGCACAATGTCATCAATGAAGAAACCCCTGTCTACCATGATGACCATCTCTAGTTGTAGCATTTTCAACACACCAGATTCCCAGGTTGGTCGCTGATAGTTCCAGCATACAGTGCTGAGACAAAGGTCACTGGCCTATGTGGCACAATCCAAATGAGCCTCTTCAGAGTGCAGTTGAACTTGAGGAAAATATATGACTCTGGAAGAGAGGGGAATATGGCCATTGTCACCTCAGATCAGTGCAGTCAAGAATTACTGGTGTTTGGGTAGTCCTGAACGTGTTGTGATGCCCCCCACCGTCTCATTGGGTTTTCATTTGTGTTTAATTGTGTTTTTCTTCTGTTGTAGGCAGCTCGTTAAGCAGCCTTGGAGGCACCTGGGCTCAGGGTGTGGTGCTGCCTAGAAAGCCTACTGTTTTTCTGCTTTCACTGGGTCTCTCCTGTGTGGTGGAGACTCCTCACTGGCCATTTTCTGTTCACTAACTTGCTTTAGTAAATCCTTACTTTTGTTAAATAAATCAGTTGTTGAACCCCCACTCCTCTGTTTGGTCTCCTTTCTTATTACAGCCCACCACTTCCAGTCTGGGTTGTAACAATCTGCAGACAGATTTCTGAGTATCTCCTCCTTTGGTACACAGATCCTCACTGAGCCATGTACTGTGAACAAATAGTTTCTCCATGATATTATCCAGCAAGGTCCCGTTTTTGTCAAAACAAGGGTGAGGTAATGAAAAAATAGAAATATTTCATTAAATTAACATTTAAATTATTTATATGCATCATTAAAATAAAAAAAACATGTTTTGAAATATATAAAGTGCACCAAACTTGACTCAGTCCATTCAACAATTCTAAATGGACAATTATGTAACTCATCAATTAATTATTTGAAAGGATAATTTGTCAATTAAATACTGAAAAAAATAAACAATTCATTAATGAGGCAAGAACTTTTCTCTCTCTCTCTCTCTCTGGAAGCCCCACTCTAAGGGAGTTTGCAGTGTATTAGTGAGTCATATATTGTACAACCACAGTCATAAAGTTTTCAATCTCAGTATGTATTTTTCCAGTATCACAAAAATGTAATTTTATATGGTTAAAACATCTAGCTTATGTGCACTTTTTAAAACACTGCCCAGCAAACATTCGGACGTTTAATGACAGTTGAACGGTCACAACTGTAAAATACCTGGAATTAAGAAAAATTAACATGACATCTACTGCATTTTCCTTACCCGGACTCGAACCAGTATCCTCCGAGGGGGGAATCACCCGCTCTCCCAGCTGAGCTATGCCAGCAACTACTGAATATCAGACTTTTTTATATAGATAGATAGAGGGTAAAGTACGGGGTACACTAACCAATCAGAGGACAGAGAAGATCTGCCACAGGCCACGCCTCCAGAGTGCCAAAAGCCCTTACAGCCGAGCGAGCAGGAGTCAGAAACCGAGCGTGCAGAGAGGCTGCCGAGCGCGCACAGAGGCTGCCGCGCGCGCACGTTTTCCTCTGCCGTGTGCTCGTTGACAAGGCGCGCACGCAGGTTTGTCACTTGTGCACATCCTTGTGCGCTCACAGACACAGTTTGCTCCCTCTCAGTGCACAAATGACCTCTCGCCATGTATATTTTCGCTCGCGAGTCCCGTTCACACGCGCGCTGTGGACCCAATCCGCGTGCACGGGTTGTGGCACGCGTCTGACGCGATACCCAGCCTTCCTTAGTATCCACAGGAGTGATTCATCACTAAATTAAACAAATCGGCTGTGCTCATGATCTAAAACAGTAACTATAGAGATCACACTAATCAATTATTCATTAGATACAAAATACTGAAATTTCCTGACTTGGTAGAGTGGAAAATATTGCAAATAATGTACAGAGCGAATACGAGTAATCTACCAACTAATATTCAGAAAATGTCTCATAAGAGAGTAAGTGGGTACATGTTAAAAGGAACTGATGTCTTTAACAAAACTAGATTCAGAACCAAAGTGAGGGAATGTAACATTTCTGTAAATGGTGTAAGATTGTGGAATGCCATTAACAAGGAATTTAAAGAATCAACTACACTTGCTATATTTAAAAAATGTATAAAATCTAATGTATTTAGTAATTGTGAAAAGGAGAATTATAATGTCAAAGATTAGACATGAAAATATTAGAAAGTGACTGAGGTTATACTGTGTTTGTTTGGCGGATAATTTTATTTTGTAAAAAGGGGCAGAAATCATAAGATTTTTTCTTCTATCTGCTCCTTTTCATTCAAATGTTTTTTTTCAATATGTTAATGTATGTTGTATTCGTTTGTGTTTATTTTATACATTGTGAATGAAATAAAAGATAAAAAAAAACATGTAGAAAACATACTGGAGCCAGACTGCAACGCCAGGTATATCAGCTCATTTTATTTCTTAGTCCCAACAGAAATGATGAACCTAATCGGTTAGGTAGATTACAGGCTTGCCTTGAAGACATAAGAAATTGGATGACTCTAAACTTTCTCATTTTAAATCAAGACAAGACTGAAGTTCTCATCTTTGGACCAAAACTTCAGAAAAGGAAACTGCTTAGTCAATCACCTGATCTGAACGGCCTTAAGTTAGTCTCTGAGAACAAAGTAAGGAACCTTGGTGTTATCTTTGACCAGGACATGTCATTCAAATCCCACGTTAAACAGGTTTGTAGGATTTCCTTCTTCCACCTTTGGAATATTGCTAAGATTAGAAGCATCCATTCCAGGAGTGATGCTGAAAAACTAGTTCATGCATTTATTATATCAAGACTGGATTACTGTAATTCATTACTCTCAGGAAGTCCACAGAATGTAGTTAAAAGTCTTCAGCTTTTCCAAAATGCTGCAGCTAGAGTTCTGATGAGAATTAAAATAGAGATCATATCTCTCCTGTCTTAGCTTCCCTACATTGGCTGCCTGTTAAATTCAGAATAGATTTTAAGATCCTCCTTCTCACATATAAAGCTCTTAATAATCAAGCTCCATCATACATCAGTGACCTGATTGTTCCAAATGTTCCTAACCGAGCACTTCGCTCTCAGACTGCAGGTGTACTAGTGGTTCCCAGAATATCTAAAAATAGGATGGGAGGCAGCTCTTTTAGCTATCAGGCTCCCCTCCTGTGGAACCAACTCCCAGCTTTAGTCCGTGAAGCAGACACATTATCTACTTTTAAGACATTTTAACTTGATAGGGCCTATGGTTAAAATCTGATGATAGCCTAGATCTGGATAAGTGGGGGAGTAGAGGGAGGTGGAGTGTACAGTCGGTAAAGACGGCTCTCCCTTGCCCTGCCTCCAACATGCCTCCATCTAAAAGGCTAGGTTATCCTGAGTTATCTCTGTAGTTATGCTGCTATAGGCTTAGACTGCTGGAGGACACACTGACCACTTTCCACACTCTACTACTTTCTTATACAATCTGCTCTTTAACTGCATTATTTCCTGCTATTTCAGCGGTTAACTTTATTTTATCTCTAAGTGTTTTTCTCCTCAGAAGAAGCTACAATAATGTTCTGTTGAGCTGTGGTGACCTCATGGAGGGCGTCATCGGCTTGCACACTGCTGCTAACCACTTAAACATTCTCCCTCTCCTGATAATAACATTTTACTTTCTTTGATATGGAATGTGCTATTACTAGTTTACCTGTTGAACTAATTATAGATTCACTAAGATAGACAATAAAGCTTATCAGTAATCATAATGTAGCCAAGGAAACACTACGTGGTACACGCACACGCGCACATACATGCACATGTGCGCACACTCACACACACACACAGCCTGAAGCGCAGGATACGGAATGCAGAATATCGGCAGGGGGACAGATTGAGACAGAATGTCATGCATCTGTGACAGTGTGTCCTATCACTGTGACCCAATTGATCATGCGCCCTGGCTAGTTGAACAGGGGAGATCTTTGTTTGGCTGACTGGTTAGCGCGCGTGACTTTCACCTGGGAGTCTGGGGATTGAATCCCAGTTGGACCATTTTTTTATATCCGCCACAGATCTCTCTGAAGAATTCACAACATTGACGGCTTCAGCAACGCTGTACCACTCCATGGATTTTCTCTTATTTGTTTTGCAAAGGTACTTCCTTTCATTTCTCCACCTCACCCACAGGTACCTCAATTTCTGCTTCTGTGAAATTGCACTTCCTTGATCTGCGGTCGCCATGTCATTGGCGGAGCACTACAACAGCCGGCTTATGTATATGCATGAGATCCACAAGGCACTTTGCATTAACTATTTATGGCAGTAAGTGGGCGTGGTGAGGGCGGGATGTGACTAAAATACAGCTGAGAAACATTCTTGTTAGTCTCCGATTTATTCAAGGTTCAAGGTTGTCTTTATTAATCCCCAAGGGGGAATTGAATTGCCTTGGACAAGTAAAAAACAACAACAACATGCACATACACACAACAAAACATTCACTGGACACTGCTATAAGCCACAACCATGATAAAAATATCAAACATACAACCATACAAAATGCTCGTTGTAAAAACGCACTGCAGCAGGAATAAAAGAGTTCCTAAAACGTTCAGTGGAACAACGGGGCATTACCAATCGCCCACTAAAAGAGCTCCCGAGATCCTTAAAAATCTGGTGAAGGGAGGTGATCCTCCAGAGACATAACTGTCTTAAGTTTACTCTTCATCCTTTTGTCGATGATCATGTCAAAGGAGTCCAAGCTTTGCCCAACCACTGAGCCAGATTTCTTGATCATTTTGTTGATCCTGTTTTTGTCCTCAGCAGTGAGGCTCCTGCCCCAACACAACACAGCATAAAACAACACACTGGCCATAATCCCCTGATAAAAAACATTCAAGAGCCTCCTACTTAAATCAAAGGATCTTAGCTTCCTAAGAAAAAACAATCTGGACTGGGCCTTTTTAACAACAGCTTCACTATTCCTTTTCCAGTTTAAATTATCGTCGAGGTACACCCCTAGATATTCCTTATGAAGCAGAGCGTGCAGCTGTGCGTACTCCATGTTTGATAAATCACAAACCTACTTGGCAGAATTACATGTTTTTTTTTTGCTGAGCTTAAGTACGGTTTTAGTAAGGATTCTATGCAATGTTTGATAAATGAGACCCCTGAACTGTATTGGAACGTTTAGTTTGTGAAGTGCCTTGAGACTACTCGTCTGCATTTTTTCCGGAAACTGGAAATTATTAAAAATGGACCTGGTCAGTTGGTCTCTCAACACGATTGACAACATTTTTTCAATGATGAGAACGGGAGAAGGGGCTCCCGGATGCCCCTCTTGGACAGATCCAGCTGGGTATATCATGGATTCCTGGAAACAGTGAAACCTGATCTGCCTCTCTCAACTGTCTGTAGAGGATTCTGAAAACGTCTGGATATTCGTGGTGTTGGTGTCAGGTTTCTTGCTTTTTGGACTGAGCAGTTACCTGGCTTACCAGAAAATTAATGAGCTGTCGAGGAATGTTGGCTCAATCCTGGAGCTCAGGGATGGATTACACTGCCCTGTGAATGCACAAACTCATATAATTGTCGAGATGAGTCGTACGCTTGGAATTTTGGCTGAGATTCAGACTCTGGCACAGAAGGTGGATTTGATCAAGGAGAAAGTTGACGGGTCAGCACGGATTGGGATAGATTAATTACACCATTATTGGATTTAGAGAGGTTGAGGACCAACAAAACTTTAAGACAGAGAGGGAATTATCTCTGTCTGGCCCCAAAACAAGTTCTTATCTGAATCTGGTGCTCTTGAACCTGTGAGGCTGAAGTGATTACTCCCCCTCAGAAGAAATGTGGAATGCCGCCGTCGCCATGGCAACTCTGTCTCTCTATCCCAGCCTGGGCAAGACTGCGACCGGTGAAGGCCGTTGAACCGTTTCCAGGAGTCGCTGTGCTTTCTAAACCCAACGACCTCCCTCCCCTGTCCAAACAAAGGTGACAAGCACTGCTTATCGTGGCTGCATGCACTGATGTGTGGAGAGACCCCAACCCTACCTCCCCACCTAGTGGACATTTATGTTGTGTAATGTCTGAAGTCTGTTGCATTTCTGTCTGAGGTGGGGTTTTTTGCATAGCAAAGCTGCCCTCCCTGTGGAGGGTAACTCTGAAGTGCTTTTTTCCTCCATCTGACTCAATCCTCATATAAACCCTCTGATCTCTATTAAGGTAGCGCGACTTGGGTTGCGAATGACCACAGTAACCAATTCTTGTCATGTGTCAATGCCTATGTATGTATGTCTGATCTCAGAATTGTGTGTACTGAAACTCTAATTGCCCTCTGGGATTAATAAAGTATCTTTGAATTGAATTGAATTGTCGTGATTTGGCGCTATTTAAATTAACTTGAATTGGATTGAAATGAAGAGAGCAGCCCGCCAGTCTGTATTTGCAATTGGAATATTCTGGCCACGTCTGACCTTTCATTAACCCGTAAAGGGTCCTTTTAGCACATACTGGCTCAAGAAAATTATTTAAAAATATGAACAAGTTGCAAAGTATCCTTTTAAAATCCCCCAAAGTAGGTTTCAAAATCAAATCCAAATGATTTTACTCTGACAGGAGAATTAACGACAGAGAAGCTTGCGTATACTGTATACTTTTGCCTTTGGCTATTTTCATTTGATTTGAAAATAGTTAAGAATAACTGGTGTCTGTGATCAATAGGTTAAAATTCTATGTTTCCATTCAATTTCAATATCTCATTTAAAACATTCTGTACCTTGGATAATCCAAAGAGGTACAGCTCAGCATGTTCTGTGTTCATGTGGATCATTGTCCTGCAACCCGGGAGAAAACTGAGCAGTGCTTCTGTTACATTACCAGAAAGGTGTGTTTTCCTGCTGCAGGTAAGTAGAAAACAAAGAGCTCATTGTTTGATACCTGACCAGGGAGTGCATTAATCCCTAACTGCTTCCCCTTCTTGTGCAGTTACCCACCAAGTGGAGAACCAAGAAGCTGGTATAGCTAAATTCGCTTCCCACCATGACCACCACTGTCACATGCTTTCTCAATACAACACTATAGCATCTGTCCAGAGAACAATGCAACAAGTGCAACAACAGGCCAGGAACAGTGCTATTGGATGACTTGTCTTTGTGTTGGTGGTGAAAGGCTGATGCAGCAGTTTCAGGCCACAATAACAAAAGGTGAAAACTGAAAACCTGAAAGCAGAGATTGAAATTGTGGGTGTGCTTCAACTTTGTACACCAGTCTGTGAGAAAGTAAATTATTCCCTAAGCAAAGGAGCAAACTTTTGCAAGAAACCCAAACTCCATGCTTATTGTGTATTGCATGGATTGTAAAAACAAACAAAAAAATTGCAGATTATATGAAAGATTGATCCTTAAAGAGATCAACTGCAATTTTTTTCATTTTTCAAAATCATTTTATTGAGTCAGTATTTGCTAAAATGATCCTTTACATGGTTAATGAAAGGCCACCCAGCTCATATCACCCTGCTGGACGGCTTCTGTAGACGCTAATGAAGGCTGGGGAGTAATTTCAGCTACTAGATTACGATGTTAAAAGTCTAACTTACATCAAGGAGATAGATTTTGCTTTTGGTTCTACAAACGGACAATAGGGGGTGCTAAAAGCAAGTCAAAATAGCATATTTCCCCTTTAAAGGGTCATTTAAGATATCTTTAAGTCAGAAAAAGTAGTAAATACCATTTTTCTATTGCAGATAGCTCTCTCTCTCTTTAAATAGTTGTTGTCTGACTCGATTAATGAGCAGTCAATCCTCCAAAATGTCAAAGTGATTCATTCAAATGTTATAGTGATTCAGCAGCACAGTATGTCACCTTCAGTGCATCCAGGGGTCAAGTCTGGCAGGAATTGCTTCACATTTTTGTAAAAAGTGATCCTGCAATGCAAAACACAAATTTTAAAGGTGTGTAAGATGGTGTTTGCATGAATATTAGGAGACTAGAGGCAACAGTTGGCTGTCGTACTAGCCATCAGCTCATCAAATCTATTTCTCCAAAACAGACACGCACTTCAAAACGGCTCATATATCCCTTTAAAGCCCAGTGCCTAATTACATGATGAAAACTCCGAAGGGCCCCATGTGTTAACATCTACTTCTGGGATTTTACCTTTCATTAAAACTGACTTGAGAGAAGAAAGGCTTATGGGGCCCAGCAGATCAATTTTGCCCTGAGGGCTTCTGGCAGGTTAATCCATCCCAGCCCCCAAGACAGATGAGTCCTTCTTCAGAACGTCTCCTGAATTTGAAGAACATAAAACGAGTCACAGTTTATCAAGGATGAAAAGTTATCTTGATATTTAGCATAAACAAATAAATAAACAATAATAAAACTTTTTGCTATCACCTCACCTGGTGTCTGTCCCACACCAGGGGGCTTCTCCTGCTCTCCTCCCAGCCTGCCACCGTTGCCAAGGTTTCCGCGTACGCGCTGGCTGCAGGAGCGGAGCCGCGCCACTGTCATACATTAGTGCCAGACATGGCGGCGGAGCTACAGACCGAGTGGGTTTCTGGTCTCCCGTCTTCCTGGAGTTACGGCGTCACTCGGGACGGACGCGTGTTCTTCGTTAAGTAAGTCTTCATTTTCAAATAACACAGTTTAAGTCCTTCGACTCGTTTCTGGTACGAACAAATGAAGTCACCGCGCATTAAACCCCGGGATGTCCTTTCCTCAACAGCGAAGAAGCCAAGAGTACAACCTGGCTGCATCCAGCGAGCGGAAAGGCGGTTATAACCGGGCACAGGAAAACTCCAGGTAAAGATGCCCCTCAGCTGTCAAGTTTCACCTGGTGCATGTCACGTCCACCGTCGTCATGTGTTGTTGTGTTTCACTAAAAAAAAAAACGCCTCCCACGCTGGGAGTGGGAAGCGCTGACATCCAGCTGTCTGTTGTTTTAGCGCTCGTGCCGGGAAAGGTGAGCCCCCCGTGGAGCACACCTTTGCAGGAGCTCGCGCGCCACTTGCCCTCGAGCCTCCTCCAGATCACTGAAGTTACTGACGCTAGTTTACCGTGACTCCGAGCAACTTGTGGACAGCGGCTGTAACGTGTAAACCGATTTTGAAGTAATTTCAATCTCTTTTGCGTATCGTGTGTTATATTGTTATAGAAACTCCTGATATTATCTCACCTGGTACATGAAATGCACCTGATAATATATTCCGTGCGATTAATAGCTTAATTATAAACGGACGTTGAAGTTAACGGGACTATCGCAGTGGCGGCTCCAGAAATGTTTCTCTGCAGGTGCTATGAAGGAGCCAGTCTTTTTATTGAGGGTGCTATGAAGGAAGTGGTCATGCGTACCTATTGTTCTCTAAAACACCTTCAACACTAGCAGATACACATGCGTGCTCAAAACCTCAACAACACCTGAAACAATCATTAATTCACATCATAAACATATGAACAATCGCTGACTTTTCCATGAAATCATAAACACATACAGCCACACAGAAAACCATCTATAGTGTTGCAAGGTTAGCTAACGTTAGTGTTAGCATTTCCAGCGGCAAAACCCTCGACTGCTGCGGCGGTTGACGGTTGACTCTCTTCATCCAGATCCGTAGGTTTTTGTGGGTCTGAGATCACTTCCAAACATTCAATTGTTTCTGACTGAACCCGTGGAAATGTGGGCAACAAAAACCGATCCATTTTACCACTAGCTCATTTGCAGGTGGAAAATGGGGTCAAAGGTTAACATCAATTTCCTGTTTTGGTTTAAGTTTTTACTATCTATATGATAATTTACTGATTATTTTTGTTTTGTATGTTAAATATTATCACATCCACACGTTAAATTTAAATTAAATTGTAAAAAATAAAAAAAATCTAATATTTACTTGGGGGTGCAATGACTAATCCAGGGGTAGCTACAGCGCCCCCTAGCGCCCCCCTGGCGCTGCCACTGGGGCTATGAGTTGGTTAATATCACCTAGTTTTGTTTAAATTGCACATCTCTTAAAACAAAGTGACATTTTCTCCTCTAAATGGGGTGTCGTTTATAAAGTTATGCAGGCAAAAATTTACAGCAATTTTGGGTCATTTAGTCTGTTAAAAAATAGGAGTTCATTCTTCTAAATCATATTTTCATCATTTCATTCAAACACTTTAAAATGTCATTAATTCAAACTCAACATTTAGGCTAGTTAGCAAACTAAATATCAAACTTCAAGTAGCCTATTTTTTATTTTTTGCAAATTAAACATTGAAGTCAGAACTAAATATTTATTTTCCTAACCAAATATTTTATTTTTAAATAAAATTAAAAAATACTTTGCTTGAATCAACTATTTAGTTTACTATTGAAGTATTTAGATGCTAATTAGCTATTTAGTTTAAATATTTTGCTCTAAAATAAATACAAATTAAACATCTGGCTCCAAATTAAGTATTCAGTTTACACACAAAAAATTTAGTTCCAAAGAAAGTATATTTTTAAACTGACATGTATTATGAATGACATGGTGAAAATATGACAACAAAAGATTAACTTAATTTTTTGACTGTTTACCTTTACCAACAGCACCCTGTACTGGCAATTTGTTATGCTGATAAGGTTGATAAGGTTGATTAGAGGGTGATCATTATTTGTTTTTCTATTGCTGATACCGATGCCAATATGTAGGAGTGGTCAGCCGATGGCCGATATCTATTGCCAGTTTTTATGGCCGATATCTAGACAATTTCCACCTTATTTTCAGGCTAAAATGTCACTAATAATGTCAGTCGATGCACAACATTTCTGAAGCTGAATTAGTTTTTGAACCCCGAAACGAACTAACTGTTAAATCTTAATTTTGTCCACTGCTCAGTGTTAAATTCAGACATCTAAATAAAGTTAATTTAGAGTATTTATTTAGCAGATGTTATTAATGAACATAACATACATTGGAGATAAATTCTGCAACAGCACCGGGCTGCCTGAGGATGTGCATGACTTTAAATCGACTTTACTAGGAGCAAATATCGGCCGATGCCAATGTATATATAAAAAAAAAGGTAAATACCGGCCCAATGTATCGGTCTACCCCAGTTCCTATGACTTATTCATCAGCCTGCAAACCTGAGTCTGAGCCTCTTCATAAATGTTAGTGACCTTCATTTCAGCCAAGCGACAACTAGTGACTGTTTTCATAAATTAATCAGCTTATTATATTTGTTTTTATAAGTGTGCATTAAGAAATCACTGATTACTATAAACAAATTGGGAAATTGCATTGATATTCTGCAACTCTTGGGCATAAATGCACAAATTTCAATACATTATTGGATAAACGGGAATTATTCTGCATGGAAATAATAGTTTGCTGAAGAAGAATAATTTGCAGGGTACACATAAATTGTATATTTCCTTTTGAGTTTCAAGTCTTATTTTGTACAAGCCATTTCTTGAACTTTTTCTTTTATGAAAAGAAATTGAATAACTTTTCCTCCACAGTGTTGGATCCTATAAAAACATTTTTATAATTCAAATCGGTCTTCATTTTATTCATACAGTATTGCTCTATAAAACTCAGAGATCACATTTTTAATATATGACTTCCTTTAAAGTTGTGAAGCTGTATCCCCTTAAGTCTCACATAGCAGCACAATTCATTTTTCCTCTTTCATTTCTGGGTAAAACTGGCTTTGTAATTGACTTATAACTAAACAAATCCCCATTGAAGTTATTTATAAATCAAACCAACTTGTGAACCGGAACTGAATTGATCCGGGAAATGACGGTCAAGGCTCACTGTGAACGCACACAACCAGCGTGTTTGGAGATATTCTGAAGAGAGGAATTAGGTTGTTTAATACACTGGCTGCCTCACGATTACATCATTATTTTCATTCATCTCTCCTCTGTCAACTCGGTCGATGTCAGAGAGCCAACATTTCATAACTGCTTTCCTCTGAAGGCATTCAGCTCATGCTTTGCACTTGTCATTCAGAGCATTATTCTGCCCAATTAATTGATCAAACAAATTACCATGTTGTGGCAGAGCAAATGATGGTACACGAGACAGATTTCCTCCCTAGATCAGACCCAGAACATGAGATCTGCTTGACCTTCTCTGATGTTATGAGCAGCATAAGAAGATGCACAGAGACTAGTGCAATTTCTGTACATTGCACTTCCTTCACTATGCCTACTTCAGATTCAGCCTTAAACATTTCAAAAATGGAATTAGAGCTTCACAGAGCTCAAAAGGAAGTAAGGAGACATGTTAGAGAGGACTATATTAATAAGGGAAGGGATTATTGATGAAGGTTCTGCTTTCTTTGCAAGAAGAAACAGCCAAAAGTTTAATTTGATGATGTTCTTTCTTTTATGCAATTTTAAAGGGATAGTCAGTGTTCTTGGGAAAAGCCGTTCAAACGTGCTAAATTTTGAAAATAACAATTCAAAGGTTCAGCCACCGGTTTTTAGGTTCCACCTTAATCCTAATTTATACTTCTCAGTCAGCTCGAGTGCAGCGTCACCCACACCCACTGATGGACATGTTTTCATTTGGACCATCAGGACAACAGAGGGCATAGAGCTTTTCTTAGCCTGCCACCATTACAGTTATGTATCCTGTCCATAATAGTGTATTTACTATTGTGTTAATGTATACATGTATATATGTATATAATGTATAGACTCAGACTAATTTGTCCCTCATTCTCCTCCACCTTTATAGGGTCACCACCTTCAGACCCAGGTTTCTTATAATTTCAGTCTATGAAAATAAGTTAGCTGCATATCTTTGTTCTCCTTTAGTCACGGGGGTATAAACGTTCAAATCTTTGGGCTTTTTCTGTGAGACGTTCTTCATTCTGCTCCATGTCTGCTGCTTGATATCTTCAGCACTCCTTATTTCTTTCAAGGGGGAAAGGCAGTGCTGTTGACAAATTTAAAGGAAGTTGCGTCCTGACCAATCACTGGCTTTCGAGTTAAATTTTTAGGCACACCTCCCATCACTCTTGGCAGGCCTGTCGTGGAGCCCTTGGGCCGAAGCATAACAGGGTTGCATGTCTCCGTACTTTGATTGCAGTGGATCAGCGAAGCCCCAAATCCTCTGCTAGCTAGCCTCGGTCAGCTCACGAGTTTTGTGACCCAGTCAGTCAGCCAGCTCAACCAACATGTTATATTTCAACCCGTCTTTGACCAAACACACAGCCTTTCCTCCATTCAACAGTAAAATAAAGTACAGAAATATAATTTTACTTACTGGTAAAAACGAAGCAGAAACGGCTTGGATGATCTTTTAGTGCAGTCAATGACCACAGCTTGCCCTCTTTGTCCAAATAACTCATGACTAACATCCAAACACAAACACACAGAGGGCACAACTAAGGTTCAGAGAGTGGAAATGGTTGAACATCTATTAATGTGAGGCCCAGAGCACTAGCTAGTGGCTCTGATGCTCACTGATTATTCATAATTTCAAGCATTTATTTACACCTAAATGGAAGAGTTACAAAAAAATCACTCCCATCAGAATTGTCATGAATGTAAACAA